TGAAGTAAAAAAAAAGTTGAAAAATAAATATATATCTTTTTTTTGTGGAAAAAAGTCAAACTTTTATTTTGAAGGCCCGATTTTCTAACGATGCAGTAGGCTGGACTGGAAGTACCGGAGACCATAAACGGATCACATAGTGATCATCTTCTCAATTAAACATCTTTGCTGATGTTTTTTCGAGTCTTCTGTCCAATCAGAATCAAGATTGTTGCCGGAAGTCCCCACGGAGAATAACTTTGCGGTAGAACTATTCTTTATACATCCATGGGTACAACTTCAGATAAGAATGAACAAATAATGAAATTTGATCCCTGGTTTGATGATTGACAGGTCACAGAACAATGGGGGCTATCTACCCTAACCCACAATTTAAACTATTTCACACAGACAACTCCTCTTTGCTCTTCTCTCTGTGTGGAGCAGCAAGCTGTCAGAACAAAGTGAAAAACAAACAATGGCATCAAATATTATTAAAATGTCAGGTAGTAATAGATTGATTTATTTTCTTCTCAGATTACCAGAATGCGTAGTTTATATGTTAGTATTTCTAAAGATCTCCTGGGGGAGAATCCCCCCAGACCCCCTGCTGGGGTTGGGTTTTCAGCATGTGTGCCTTTTTATGTTATACAGTTCAGCTTTGATTCCATCATCTCATTAAACCTTTTTTAAAAGCACTTTTTAGTTCTGTGAAGGGATATAAGGGATATAAGCACTGTACTTCCCTTTAATTAATATTGTATGCTGAAAAGCGTATATATATTACAGCACGATTTTTTTATTGAATAGATTTGATTGGTTCAAATTTCGGGTCGCGATTTATTGACAAAGGACAAAGTGGGTCCCGAGGCCTGACCAGTTGAGAACCACTGGTTTAGATCACATTTGGTCTGTACAGCATATCTTCACTTTTCGCCACAAATGAAACATGCACTTGTTTAAGATGTGTGTCGATGTTCTGCCCTGTTTTCATCTAGGTGAGTTCCGTAAGCTCCTAGCTGCTTTTGTGTCTGGAAGCGCAGCCAAGAGTGGAGGAATTATCCGCAAGATCACTCCCACTTCTGCCGACCCGAAGGACACGCCGACTGCCAACAGGTCGCAGCAGAAACTGCAGGTGAGTCAATGCAGGCGGTGAAGTGTAGAAGGACATCAACGAATTGCCTGTGTGTGCGAGTATTTAAATCATCCATTAAACATGACAGGTGGACCTCGAGCAAGCCTTCTTTCACAACCAGCCTCCGTCGCTGCGTCGCACCGTGGAGTTTGTCGCAGAGAGAGTTGGATCAAACGCCGTCAAGCACATGAAGTAAGGACCAACAAGTTCTATCTTTCTCTCTTTCCATTCCTTATCTTTACCTAGAATAACAGTTCATCAGTCTGCTACTTTGGTTGGTTGCCTTCCTAAGAAGCTGAGACTGTTAAACAATCCACATTTATCAGCCCTTAGGTTGTGGCTGCTGTGAATTCACCCACTTGTATAGATGTATGTGTATTAAAAGCACTATTTTTAACATATTCAAACTAAAATATACGTAATGTAGGTGATTTTTGTTCTATGTACGTGTGTGTGTGTTTATGTGTCTATTTGCGGATCATCAACAGGGCGACGTTAGTGAGTGAGTTGGTGGAGCGAGGGGACAAGATGCTGAGAGATGGGTTGAAATTGCCAAACTCAAATCCTTCGAAACTTAACGACTCCATTTGTGCTCAGCTGTGTGTCGCAGGATTGGAGGCCTTGGCAAAAGCCACCAGGTATGACAGCGTCTTTCACAAACAGCCTGCAAAGCTGTCCTTCTCTGAATCCATATACAGAAATGAATGGGATTTTTATAGCCATTTGATTGGTCGAGGTAAAATGAACTGCTGCTCTTCTGGCCTCGTCGTCACACTACATTAGCATTTCTCTGCTGTGTGGTAATCTCCATGTTGTTTTGCAGATTTTGCTGTGAGAACAGTCCTGAGGCCATACGCACTCTGCTCCCCCATGAGACCTCCCCTGCTGTAAGACCTACAAATCACACTGCTGAAAATCACACCGTTTTTTTTATTCAGTAAAGAATAAACACATTATAAACTTGTGTTTCTGATTTATTCCTTTTTACTTTTTACTTACTTTCTCTGCAGGTCCTGAACACATCTGAAAACATCACCAAACGTCTTGCAACAGAGAAAGCCAGCAGCTGGCTCTCTGCCAACATCACAGGTAGCTACCTAGCGCACCATGCTTCTGCCTTTTCATGATTTTAACATGAAAGGCACTTTAAATTGATTCTCTCCATTTCTCAAAACAGTCTTTTGGATGTTTATGCTTGGGTTGTGCAACTAATGAGACTATCCTGGTTGCTTCTTTGTATGTTTTTATTCACTGGTCCAATACCTTTTTCTCAAATTGAATTTGAACCACATTAAATGCACGGCACTGCTGTGACTGAATAATCTTAATTGAATATTATGACGACATTGACATGGCCGATGTGATAATCTATCTAATAATGTCGTATTTGGACAAACAGTTACCCGGAGTATCAGCTCAGTGGATCCCTATTTTGATATTGATGCAAGTGAATTCTCATGCCATAATGTATGGTGTATACTAGGGATGCTCCGATCGCCAATTTTGGGGCCGATCGCCGGAATCAGCATCGGCCGATACCGATCGCCGATCTGATCGAGTAGGCGGGGCCTATGGGGATCTTCCATTTAAAGTGATGTTTAAAACTCAGTTAATGGGGCTCATTCACTGGAGCTTCCACAAACAACAACCAACATAATTATTACATTCAAATGAAGAACATTATTCAAGTTTACATTAACTTTGGATAATAACATGGGAGAAATGAGCGGAAGCCTCTCTCTCTCTCTCTCCTCTCTCCCTC